TAGCTGCATATGCGTATGAAGCTGACAGAGCTAAACGTTTATATTTTGGTCAATACTCTCTCACACTTACTGACAAATATATTGTTATCACTGATGGAAATACTGAGAAATACATAACATGGAAGGACTATGAAAAGTTTGACCCTATTTTAACTCCATGTACTATGCCGTTTATAAAGGACGGTGAAATTATTGAAAAAGATAATACAACCATATATAGGTCTGTTTATGAAGCATTAGAATATATGTTGAATCATAACCCAAAAAGATTTGACCCAAGCACTACACCATGTGCAATGCCTTTTATTAAGGACGGTGAAATCGTAAGAGTTCCGGATTCAACGGTTTACACAGCTGTTCAAAACAGTTTACAAAACATTTTAGCGAATATCTTTAATTCAGAAACTACAGAAATAAAATTACCGTATATAACAGATGCTAAAGAAATTAAATCAAAAACGACAACATTATTTACGTCACTTAATGATTTAATGACTTATATCATTAATATTCCTGCACCAACTACAGCATTTGATCCAAACTCGACGGTTTGCAGTGTACCTTTCATAAATGACAGTTCATTAATTACTTTAAGGGATTCGACAGTAAATGAATCATTAAAGGCGTCATTAATGAAAATCATTGATTTTAACTCATTCACGAATACATATAATTCATTCATTAATGTTTCATATGCTTCTAAAGAAGGTGAGCCAAAAACTATTGATAAAGCGGTGTATGAAATAAAAGCATCAACGACGAAATTGAATTCGTTAACTTTTGACGGTGATAGTTTCGTTAATGACATAACATCGGGGAAAACAATTTTAACGAAAGAATATTTAAAATCTCATGTTAGTGAGTTCGTTGAAATTGAAAAAGAAGGTGGAATTAAGTTCGATCCACTGAATTTCATTTTCACTTAGCGAATGCGGGCATTAGTTTCGCTGAATGGACAACTATACAGAGTGAAATAAATGCAATATGGACGTTTTTGGGGTCAAAAGCGGGAATGGGTGAGCTTGTAAATGCTGCAAGAACATTAGGTGAAACAGGAAATTTTGTAGATGGTTTTAAAAGACTTGTTTCAAATGTTTTAACAAACACAAAGAAATTATTTAGATATACCGTACATAACGGACGGATTTTCGAACAGATAGCAACAAACCCTCCGGTTATGGCTGCGTTGATGATGGTTAGAGATATAAAACCACGTAACGACGGGAACGAAGAACATGAACAACAGGATACTGGTCGGGTTATTCGAGACATTAAAAACGTGTATCCTGAAGTTATTGATTTATTTAGAGGAGTTAATGATTCAATTTCAAAACATTCTATAACCCTCGATGAAGAGAATAAATTAACAGATTATATATTCGTCATTATTGCAGAATTAATGAAGAGAATAAATGAAAAAGGAATTGGTGATATCATTAATGTCAGCGATGTAATGATGAAAAGAAATTTTGACTCATTATTTACAAAACCGAAAACAGAATATAGTCTTTATGACGTAATTACCGAATTAATGAAAAAGATTAATGATAATAAGAGTTCTGGCGGAAGAGTTGAATTAGAAGTGAATGATGTTAATGAGAAATTAGCCGAAAAAGCAGACAAAAATGAGCTTTTAGCTCTGAGTGATAAAGTCAAGAACCACGTTCATTATATAACTTCAGGAACAGATTATAACGGACTACCATGGATATTTAACACGAAGTGATGAAGCGAAGACAAAAAATGTTAATGAAAGAAGATATAAATATATTCGTGCTAAAGGTTATGACATAAGCTGTACTGTACAGTATGATGTAGCTAAAGCACCAGAAGCATTTGGTTATACCGGTGAAATTTATGCCTCTACTTTCAATGTTAACGGTGTATTAGTTGAACCAAGATTTACATTGAGAGTTCAGGCAAAAATAACTTTTGAAGATGCTATTAAAAGTAAAGCTGACAAAGTTGAACTTGACGCAACGAACAAAGTTTTGAAATCTCATAAACACAATATCTCCGATATAAATGAACTTCAAGCTACATTAAATAGTAAAGCCGACAAGAACCATACACATGAATCCTTCACTACTGTTAGAGCAGACGACATAATATTGAACTATACCCTTGGTTCAAGTGCACCTTTAGAGAATCCAAGTACAAGCGTAAAAGATACACTAAACAATTTAGATAGTAAATGTATGAACATTGAAGGTCATGCCAGAAACTTTGAAGCATATGAACTACCAGCAATGTTAGATAAGAAAGCCGACAAAACTTATGTAGATGAAAATTATGCAAAGAAGTCGGAAGTAAATGCTGCGCTTAATGGAAAAGCCGACAAGAACCATACACATGAAGAATTTCAAACAATCAAGATTAAAGAAATTAAAGCATGCATCGAAATAGTAACAAAAACAGGAAGAAACGGTGCAACTGTACAAGAACAAAGAATTTATCCTCCTACTTTTCCTAATGGTTTAATAACAAACAATAAATATTGTAGATGGCAAAGGATTTATAAATGTTAAACATGAACTTCAAACAATGAAGGCTCAGATTCTTCAAACATTATATCCTGTTGGTTCTATTTATACGTCAATGAATTCAACAAATCCAGCAAGTGTTTTAGGTTTTGGTACATGGCAGCAGATTGTAGACAAATTCTTATACTGTGCTAACTCTTCAAAGCAAACAGGAGGTTCGAAGAAAATTACTGAAGCAAACTTACCTCCGCACACTCATACAGGAACTACAAACTTTTCTGGCGACCATAGCCACTCATTAAGAGACCATCCATTATACAACTCAGAGTATGAAGCTGGCAATGATGTTTTATCTCCATCTTATAACAATTCAGCAAAAAGACTTTTCGACCAACTGAACCAGGAGGAAATCATTCACACACTTTCACAACAAATCCAACAGGCTCGGGTGCAGATTATATGCCACCATTTATGACGGTTTATGCATGGTACCGTCGCGTTCATGAACGCGCTTGAGCCTAGAATAAAATCTTTAACTTTACATAAATGAGCTTGAAAGAAGTATTCGAATCATCACCGTGGAGGTCATTTAAGAAGTTCAATGAAGCTGCAAAAAGTTGGGGATTTACTAACAGAGCTGAAGTGAAAAGGTTCTTTGACAAAAATGTTGTACATCAAACAAAAATAAACCCTTACGACTACTTTTTACCAATTTACTCCAACACTCCTGACGCATACCAATTTGACACTCTCGTTCAGAGTAAGAAAGGAAGAAAGCCACCATTCCTCATCTTCATTAATGTTAACACTCGCAAAGCTTTTGCGTATATAATGAAAAATAAAGGAACTCGTGAAGTGTTAAGAGTTTTACAAAAGTTCGTAGCAGAACATAGCCCAAGTACTTTAACATCAGACCAAGACAGTGCATACCTCAGCAATGAAATCACAGATTTTCTCATTAAGCATAACATAACTCACTACACTACTGAAGACCATAACCATAACATACTCGGCATCATAAACCGCTTCATAAGGACTCTCAGAGATTTAAATCAAGAGCGAGACCTTACCGAAGAAACAATGAAACATTTTCTCGAAGTATATAATTCCTCAACACATTCTACAACAGGACATACACCAAATTCAATGACACAACAACAAGAAGAAAAGTATATACAAAAGAAACGAAGTCAAACACAAAATATCAGAAATTCAACACAATTTACCCTCATTCCTGGTACAAAAGTTCGTGTAGTTCTTGACGACAAACCGTTGACAAAGAAACGTTTAAGGTTAAGTAGAAACTATTATATCGTAGACTCTACGCAAGGTAATGGATATCTTATAAAAGCTGCTGACGACTCCATTGCATTTTACCCTCGACATAAATTAGTCGAAAGTAGTAATGGCAAACTTGCTGAAACCATTGACGAAGCAAAGCGAGGAGTGGTTATTGAAATACTTGGTTATAACATAAACGATGACACTTATAAAGTAAGATATGAAGGAGGCGTTGAAGATGTTATACCATCTAAGAACTTGAGAGAATCTAAACCAACTCATCTGGGACCATTAGAGCGGGAGTACTGGAAAGATAAAAATATGCCAGAAAGAATAAGAAAATTCTTCTAAACTTTTTCATTAGATGTAAATCAGACATGAACGAGAACAGTCATGATATCATTAATGGTACCATTTATTTTAACATAAAGACGCAAAGCGGCGAGGACGAAGTCCATGACTAAAAATAATGTTTAGGGTAGATGGTTAGATCTAACCTCATTTCTACCCTCATTTCTAACCTCAGCCGCTAAGCGGCGAGACCCAAAGGGTCTTGAATTTTCATGAATTTCCTTAAGATGAAAAAATAAAGTTAGTTTTATTTTATTTATTTTTTTTATTTTGTATAAAAGATATGATTTCAACAATCGGCACAACAACAATTCAAACAACAGCACCAAATTCGTTAGTCATGAATCCAACATCTATGTTAGTAGAGATGAAAAGCTTTATTCCTTCTTCATATACTTTTGAAACAAAAATCCAGAAGATAAAGCAAGAACTTTTAACAAGTAATTTAGACTGTACCGCACAGGATGAAGAAAATGAAGAATATCTTTATGTCATGCAGGACATTATTGACCATTTACCCAAATTGCCTGAAATCCAACAACAAAAGCTCACTATTCCTGAATTCGATGAAATAGAAGTGAAACCAACTGACTCAGTAGAAATAAAGAAGTTCATACGTAAAGTAAATTATGAGTTTCTAGGATATCATTGCAACCATAAAGTTATGGACAAAGATTGCGACATGGTATATAAGAACATCTCTGACATATATAAATCTGGGGAGTTTAAGACATACGACAACTTTTTTCATTAGTTGCAGAATGTGTATGGCAGATAAGAGATAAAGATAGAAGAGGTAAGGTATGGAATGAACAGATAAAACCAACTGCTTCAGATTTAAAGAAAACCATTGACGCCTTGGTTGTTCTAGCTGGTTTTATTTCAATGTATAACGCAAAAATGAATCCGCAATGTTCTAAATGTAAAACAGCAATGAGGAAATATAACTACTCCGTCAAAGAGATAGAACGTATGCGAAACGACTATGCAGACTTAAAGAAAGAAGCAGAAAAACCAGCAGAAAATAAAATGGACATGTTAGCATTTCTGAACAAAAACTATCCAACTGCTGACGATTTCCTATTATCTGACGTCAAGAAGAAGTATAAAGAAACCTTCGGCATTGTTAAAACATTCGATGTACTAAAAGAAGAAATAGAAGCTACAAAACTGTTTAGAATCTCACGAATTCATAACGTATATCATGTAAAATGTTTATAAAATAACTGGGGTAGAAATGAGGGTAGAAATGAGGTTAGATCTAACCATCTACCCTAAAATATATTTTTGCTGAATTCAGCACAAAAATAATGAATTTCCTTAAGATAGAAAAAATAAAGTTAGTTTTATTTTTATTTTGTATGTAAGAACAGAAATGACAAACATTGAGTTTGAAACAGTTAGAAAGATTGACAATGACACCAAAGTGGTTAGAATAGGTGATTTAAACGTAAGATACTCAAAGAAATACAACAAATATTCTTTGTCAGACATTATATCTCCATCTGAAAAGAAAACAAACCACTGGGTTAGAAATGCTTCAACTCAGAAAATTTTGACAAGAAATCCTGAGCTTATGATATCAGTAAGATTCTATGGAACTACAGCATATCTCATCGACAAAAGTCTTATACCAATAGTTTTGTTATGGATTGACCCAGTTGTTGGATATAACTTCATAACTTATGGTTCATTCGATACGGAACGTTGCAGTGAAGGCTTACTTTATATCGTTCAGAAACCGAAGGACTTCAATACAAAGAGATATAAGATAGGAAGAACATATAATATAACTCAAAGATATGACAGTACAGTCAATAGAGTCAAGGTTGTGTTTGTTAATGATATGAGAGCTGCTGAAACAGAACTACTTGAAAAGTTTGAGAAAATGTATGGTGCTCCCATAAAAGGTAAAGAAACGTTTGAAGTAGATGAGATAGATAAAGCTATAAAATTATTTGACGAAGTTGCTGAAAAATACATGTAAAGCGTTTATTTTTGGTCTTTTGTGAAAGTCAGAAAATAACGCTAATTTTTTTCTAACAAATTTTTTATTTTGTATGTAAAGACAGTAATGTCAACATCAGAGAACACAACAACTGCTATCGTTCATGAAGCCATAAATGAAGAATACGAGTACATACAGTATAACAAACAGTTACGTCTCATTCGTTCAGTCAAAGATGACATGTACCAAATGCAAAGTATAATGAATGCTCTTAGTTCTACAAAGCAAGCATATCATTGGTTTGAAAACCAACAGACAAAAGAACTTTTAGAAGAATTTCCTCATATGATTGCTTCCCTCGGAAAACCGAGAGAAGAGATTCCGTACGAAAATCGCAAGAATTTGGCTCCTGGTTTGAAAGGTTATTATGTTCATAGACTTTTAGTAAATGCTGTAGCAATGTGGGCTTCACCTCGTTATGCTTGTTATATTTTCATGATGTTAGATGAACTATATAAAGCAGAACGTGAAGAGCTGGAAAAGAAACTTCAAGCAAAAGATGAAGTCATTGAATCCAAAGACAAAAGCATACAGAAAAGAATACTACGTTCAGTACCAAAAGGAAAGGAAAAGAGTTATAGGTATATGATATATACTGAAGAGTTGGAGAAAGAAGAAGATAAAGATATGGTTATGTTACATTTAGTCAGAAGAAACAACAAGAGCTTTTATGACTTAGCTAAAATATATAAATCTGACAGAAACGGGTTCTATCGTGAAAACTTACCGATTTCAATGACACCGAATGAACAAATAAAGGAAATTGTCAAAAATACTCTTCCTCAAACACACTATGACATCAAAGGTTGCACAATACTTACATTCAAAGAAGACTTAACATTACTGAAGGAAAAAATAACAGAATATTTCGACAACTTCAAAGAGGAAGAATAAAGAAAAATAATTTTTTTGTTCAATGCTTTGAAATTATTTTTTACAGTCAGTCAATGACGACTGACTGACTGACTGTTTGGAATTTTATACAAAATATTTCATAAATGCCTTCCTCCTTTGCTGTTGTCTAAATGTTATGTTGTCACACTTTTTAAGAGAAGTTAATTAACCTGGTGACACATGGTGACGTAGTGACACTTTCAGTTCTTCAAAAATATATTTTTGCTTAAATAGCTTCAGGGTCTATTTCTTCAACCATTTCACTTCCTTCGTCAATGTCAATAGAAGCTTCTTCAACCTTTGGTAAGAATTTCTGTATAACATCTTTGTTCGTTATTGTCTTCAGAGATGAAGGATAATATTTCACATTTGTTTCACCCTTCTTATATTCTTTCTGTTCGGAAAGATTTAAAACAATACTGAAGAAGTCAATGTTAGAGTTCTTTATGACAGTATAATGAGTATCTTTGACATTCACGAAGAAACTCTTTTGTTTCAAAACTACTGCTAACTCTTGTGAAGTATAACGTTTGCGGTCAATGACGATAGCTAATGGTCTGACATACTGACCAAACTTAGATTCTTTCACAAACTTCTTGTTAAAGATAACATTAACATTTGAAGCATTATTGAACTCATTCTTGATGGCAGTAGCGAGAGCATTGTATGAAAAGAACTTGCAATCTTGCATGTGTTTCATTAAAATAAAAATATTAAATTATTTTGAAAAATAACTTTAAAAAATCTAATCTAATTTTTTCAAAAAATATTTTTTTTATTTCCTACTAAAGATGTATCGGAAGTTGTCTAAGTTAGAACACTCGGAAATAAAACAACTTCTAACAGAAGCTAACATAGAAGTAGCAAAGCATTACGCAACAAACAAAAAAGCACTCGCTGACTTCATTAAAGACTACAATGGTGAAATAAGTTATGATAGAATTCATGAGTTCATAAAGCCGCAACGCGGCGAGGACGAAGTCCATGCAAGAGCATTTCCTTTAAATGACGTTGCTATTGACTTATATCATAGACGTTCAGTACCTCATGAAGTAAGAAGAGAAATGTTTGACATAACAAATGCAAACGTTGGTGAAACAAGAAGAAGAGACGACACACTGAAACAACAGAGAAGAGAGATGTTTAAAAGTGCTATAGAACAAGTTCGCAAAGCTAACGATGTCCTTCGTTCCATTGACGACAAACCAAAAGAAGGTGAGAGATGGTTAAAGAAAGATGAAGAGAATAGGAAGAGGAATGTTAAGACAGGCAATAGACTCATTGACTTTAACATCGAAGCTTTAGATGAACCAAACAGAGACTACTTACACAAACATTTCGGTAAGGTTTTCATGAGACTCTTAGAGAAGATTAAAATAAACTCCCAACAAGATGGATGGTATGTTATAAACTTGGTGGAAAGTATGAATGTTCTACGTTAAACCTCAATAATATTGGAACATTACTACATCAGCTCTTGAAGGAGAACTTTATATCAGAGATAGAAGCAAATGCTGCAGGTATTGTTGAAATGCACTATGACTTCTTCTTGACAAACATAAAGAATCTTACCGAAATAAAGATGTATGATTTAACAGAATATGAAGGCTTAACGATGTCAGATGTAAAGAAAGGCAAACCAAAAAAGAGACCATATAGAGATGAAAGCACACTGACAAATGACCAGAAAGCCATTTTGGAAGCTCTTAAGCAAACAGGAAACCCAGCACTTATAGAAAGCTTTTGGAAAGATAATGGTGAAAAGAAGTTTTATAAGAAGAGAAGCGGTCAGTTCTGGAAGTATCTTTGCACATTACCTATAAATCTTGAACGCTACCAAATCTTCAATGAACTGAACAAAAGAACTGCAACACTTATGACAGAGGACAATTGTTTCGTTTATGCTTGCATTCAGGCTGGAGTAGATGAAGAAACTATTGACCACATGAGAGAAGTCATTCGTGTTAGAGACTTTCCTCAAAGTAAAGTACAAGAAATTTCTGACGCAACAGGTATAGCATTTAATGTTGTCATTGGTTACTTCAATGACTCAAGACATAATGAAATAAAGAGATACATACCAAAAGAATGTGAAACTGTTAGAACTCTTGACTTACTTCTTGTTGAAGACCACTACATGCTAAATGAAAGATTACCAATGACAACATATTTCATTCGCAACTATATAGAAATCTTGAAGGAGTGTGGTGGAATGAACATTGAGAAACAGATGAAGATTTATACAAAGAGAGAGAACAAATATGTAGTTCGTTATGATAGAACAACACCGTTATGGGATGTTATGAAAACATTGTGGGAGTGCAAATATTTCGAACCTATTTCTTATGGAGAACTTTTCACATATACGACTGACTTATATAAACAGAACCTTGCACCATTTAAAGATTTGACATATGCTCCAAAGTATTGTGTACAACTGAAGAAGAAAGCTGAGCCAAAAGAAGTAAATAAAAATAAGTGCAAGTTCATTCCTGAGCACGTTTTCTTTGCTGACTTTGAGTGTAGCACAGACGGCTTTCATAAAGCTTTTAACATCTGTTACGACAGTGAAGATGGTTCAGTGAGTGAAAGCATTTGGGGTCAGAACTGTGCAACAGAATTTTTGGAACGACTTCCTGACAAGAGTTTAATATATATAACCTCAGTTATGATATAAACTTCATCTTAAGACACATGACAGAAGTGAAAGGAACTCCCATCATTAAAGGTTCACGAACAATGCAAATAACTGGCTTATATAAAGGAAGGGCAATTATTATAAAAGACTCTTACAGTGTTATAAATAAGAAGCTTAAACTATTTCCTGCTATGTTTAACTTACAAACAGGACCGAAAGAAGTATTTCCATACAACTACTACAGCAGTGTTTTGTTAGCAAATGACAACAGAACTGGTGTCATTTCTGAAGCATGTAAGTTTGTAAAAGATATTGATACATTCATGAAAAACATAGATTCCATCAAAGGTTGCAGAATAGATGAGAACCACTTCGACTTAGAAAATATAGTACATTTTATTGCAAACAAGATGTAAGAATTTTAAGAGAAGGTTTTGTTAAGTTCCGCAATGACATATTGAAAGAATTTGATTTAAACGTTTATGACTACGTTAGTATTTGTTCAATTGCTAACAAATTGTTTGAGAACAGAGTGTACTTCCCGAATGGAAATTTATATGATCTCTCAAATAAACCAAGAGAATTTATTTCACGCTGTATTCAAGGTGGAAGATGTATGTTGTCAGATAACATTAAACAAAAGAGCGAAAAGAAGCTCATTGCTGACTTCGACGCTGTTTCATTATACCCTTCAGCAATTGCAAGACTCTATACTTTAGAAGGTATACCGAAAGTATTGAAGGAAGAAATGTTAAGCACAGAGTATCTCATGAGACATTTATTCGATGACGACCAAAAGGAACCCATTGGTGAAAAGTTTGTGTCTGGCTTCTTTGTTCTCATTAAGATAACAGAGATTGGAATACATAGACACTTTCCTTTAATAGTTTGTGACCCTGAACTAAATCCAGAACTTAACGTTCCCAGAAGTTCAAACACTTGCTGTTTAATGTATGTTGACCATATAACATTACAAGACCTCATAAAATATCAAGGTGTCAAATGTGAAGTGTTGCAAGGATACTATTACGATGGAAACAGAGATATTAGAATAAGAGATGAAGTAAAGAAGTTGTTTGAGTTAAGGTTAAAGTATAAGAAAGAAGGAAATCCTTTGCAAGAAAATATAAAGCTCATTCTGAACAGTATTTATGGCAAAACTATTCTATCTCCTATTGAGTCAAAAATAACCATAGTAAATGACAAAGATGCTATAAGATATGCCATCAGAAACTACAACCATATAGTGAAGTTCGAAGGTTTGGATGGTTCAGATAAAACTATTTTCAAGCTAACGAAAAGCATTTGCAGACACTTTAACTTCTGTCCACTTGGTGTTAACATTCTGTCTATGTCGAAGAGAATAATGTGTGAAGTATTCTGTACTGCTGAGGACTTAGGAATGGACATCTTTTATAGCGATACGGACAGTATGCATCTCTACAATGAAGATATCCCTCGTTTAGCTGAAGAGTTTGAGAAACGTTATGGAAGAGTTCTCATTGGTAAAAACCTTGGTCAATTTCATAGCGACTTTGCAGAAATCACACCTGGAAAACAAAGTTTAGCATACAAGTCAATATTTTGTGGAAAGAAGACTTACATAGACTTACTCACGAATGATTTAAATGAAGTTGCATTTCACTGCAGAATGAAAGGCGTGAAGCAAGATGTTATTGCTTTAACCGCTAATGAAATGTTTCCTGACTCTGTTCAGTGTTTCTATGATGAAGATAAAGGTTTAATGGTTCCGCAAGGAACATATGACAAAGACTCTGAGTTCAGTGTTATGAAGTTATATAAAGCACTTTATGACGGTCAAGAGATTGCATTCGACTTATGTAAGTCATGTCAACCTTGCTTTGAAGAGAAGTTTAACTTCTCAATAACGACTAAAACAAGCTTTATTAGTAAGTTGAAGTTCTGAGGTCATTTATTTTTGTCAGCAATGAGGTCATTTGTGATAAAAATAAAACTAGCGGCAAGGGCGAAGCCCATGTGGTCATTTACAATACTGCGATGGTAGAGTTTAAGAGTTGTGCTTCAATGTAGAGACAGTCCTTATGGTCTGGAGGTAAGAACACTGGGCAGTTATGGTCATGAGTGGAGAACATGTCTATCCAAAACTCACGATCGAAGCCAGTTAATTTATAGTATTTAGGGTTAGGAAGTGGTGAAGTTCTTGTATGACCAATGAACTCATTTTCAACTCCCTTACTTAAGTTTGAATATAATATAGCTTGCTTTCTATCCCAAATACCAGGTGTTACAATCTTTGAAAATTCATTTTTCTTCGGAAGCATTGCATCATAATTGAAAACATTCTTGAAATCATCACTTGGTTCAGAGATTTGAAATCTTATACGTAATGGATTTTTTTTCTTTTTAGCTACTTCATTGAATGGTGAATATATAACAAACTGACAGTCATGAGTTCCATCTTCATTTTCATTAAATTCATAATGAAAGTCTATAAGTTGTGGCTGACTACCTTCTTCTTTCAGTTGTGCAAGAAACTCACGTAAAGGCTGTAAAGTTTGTACTTCAATGTTAAACTTTTTCTCGAACATCTCATTAAATGAAGTCATACATTGCAACAATGTTGTATCGTCTTTAAAGTATTTGTATATGTGAATGTTTTGGGCGCTTAAAGACTGTTCGTCATTTTCTATCTCGACTTGAAGTATAAAGTCAACCTTTCTGAAAGCATGTGTTATATACATAGATGTTATGCCAATGTACTTCTCTTCATTTATGTTCACAATCCAGTCTGTTGGAAACTTAAACGTTACTCTGTTCCCCTTTATTTTGACGTCAGGGTTTTCACTACTAAACGCAACAGATAAAGGTATTTGTCTATACATTTAGTTCCGATAAAAATAAACCATTTACTCTTTCTTTGCTTCAGCTTCTTTAGCTTTTGCTTCAGCTTCTTCTCTAGCTTTCTTCGCCAGCAAACGTGGGTTCTTTTGTCTTCCAGCAGCTAATGCAGCAAGTTGTTTTTCACTAAGTTTTCTCTTTGGTCTCTCTGGCTTTTGTTCTTGTTTTTGTTCCTTCAGTTCGGATAAAATTTGCTCACGAATTTCTTTCTTCAATGCTTCAACATCTATGACCCCTTGGGTCTTGTCCGTAGGGCTTGTCTGAGTCATTTGACTGCAGATAAAAAACAAAATTAAAACTTTAACCGATGTAAAATGAGCTTGTCAAAATCAGAGCGAGAGTCTATTATATTAAATGACGCAAGAGGAATACAACATCCTTTCTATTACGTAAGTCAGAGTAAAGATGGTAAAATATACGTAAGAAAAAGAAAGGTTCCATTAGCGAATGCAGAAAGCGACAACATTAAGGTGTATGGCAAGGGTGAAGTCCACGAAGCCCATATAAAACCTTCTGTTCAAACTGAGCCACCAAAAGAACAAGAAGAAAAGAAGCCAGATGTACTTTCAATAACGAACCAAGAGCTTATTGCAAAGTTCGTGAATTTCATTGAAAAACAAACCGAGTCAAAGAATCCTGACCCGCCAGTGAAAGAAGTTGAGACAAAAGAGAATGTACAGTTCATTGAAAATGTCAAGAAACAACTTCCACCACGAATGCCAAGAAGAAGAGTGAGAATAATGAAGTAAATAGATATTTTTATCTGAAGTAAATACATGCAGAACGAACAGTTAAACGAATTTACTCCAGCAGAGCATATTCATCAGATTCGCTCATATTTCGATATCATAGACAATGCAGTTCAAATTGGTGACACTAATAGAAAATATTCTGACGCAAAGATTCCATCACAACCTGGAACTGCTAAAGATAACACATGGGTAACATTCAATCTCTCACCTCCTGGTGAAAATATGTTGGACCTTTACAATACATTCATTACGTATAAAATGGAAGGTCAATTTATTGTAGATAAAGAAATTGGTTCAGGTTCCAATAAAACAAACCCACCAGGATTTTGGATTGGTTTCGATGACGCTTTCTATGCAGTTGCTGGATATCAAATCCTTGCAAATGGTCGTATCGTATATTCTCAAGACAACGCAAGAGAAGAAGCATATATAACTTCAAACTCACAAACTACCGAACAAATAAAGAAAGTAGATGTTTTCTCAAAGACTCGACATGAAGATGTATGGAGTCATTCGGGAACATGCAGAACAGGACAAATTGTTAGTGGTCCAATTACAGCAGGAAAATCATTTGATTTTAAGCTTCGTTTAAGAATTCCAGTTAGAAGATTCCTTCCATTAGAAGCTATTCGATTTATTCCAGCTTTTGCAGGAAACATTCAGCTTAAAGTAAAGTTCAGTAGCGACGCCTTACAATGCACATCTATATCTGTAAATGATATCATTGCTTTCAATCCAACTCTTAAAGTTGCATTTGCTTCAGATTCAAATCCACCGACAAATAAATTTGTTCCATGGAATGAACCATTCACTATGATAACGAAGGCAGTAGAAGCTAGTGGAACAGTTACTATTACAACTGTAACCCAGCAACTATTTCGAACAAAGATGGATTTTAATGAATGTTTCATTCATCCAAAGTCATTCTCTTTAGACCCTAACATTTATACAGAACTTGTAGAACATTATACAAACGAGGCTTTATGTTTTCCTGTTAAAGTTATGGATTGGATTCCTATGGACGGTTCATTCTCAAAGAATACAGATAGTTCAAGTGCAACATTTACAGCAGCTTATACGCCTATTAATGTTAAAAGTATTTGGGCACTATTTAGAAAGAAAGACAACTATTATGTTAATTTTGAGAACCCTAAGTTTAAATATCTTCAGCTTTCCATGGGAGCTTATGGAAATATGCCTGCAGAACCTGAAAAATCATATGGACCTGTATTTTATGAAATGGTTGCGAACGCTTGCAATACAAACAATGATATGATCGGATTTAATGAAGATGTTATGAGGTCATTGGTGGATGGTGGTAGTGTGGAACATAAATGGGATAGCTATGACAACACACATTTCTTATGTGGTTTTCCAACAGAAGTGGACTTTTGCTTCCAGCAAGGTCAAACATCTACTGCTCCAATAACATACAAATTGTCTGTTAAAGGACCTATTGAACTAGCAACTGAAAATGTACCAAAGCCACTTATTGGATTTATGAGGGATTGTTGCTTTGCCATTCAGGTGCGTGCTAATGGAATCCCGATAATAAGATTAGATGACTATAACTTAGCTACGGACGACAGTGAGGAATAAAGGATGAACGTTTATTTTTAAAGCTTATAAATGAGTTCTTCATCAAGCTCTCGTGAACCTTCATCATCTATGAAACAAACTTTACCAAATGATTATGGAGCACCTATTGAATATTTCTTACGAGCTGCACAATGGCAAAGAGCAGTCTCACCAAGGTTAGGTGTTCCACCAGCTCCTGTCAAAAATAGCATTTGGTCAAGTCCTTATATAAAATATGGTCTCCCACTAGGTTTGCTAGCTACAGCAGGAGCAGTTATGATGTTGAAAAGAAATAAAGCAAATGTTGTAAATAATACAGAAGTAGCTGAAGTTAAACAAACTCCAACACCCTCGCCAAAACCAACGTCAAAACCAACGCCTTCACAAGCAAAACCTTCAATGACTCCTGAACCTATGGAAGTACAAACTCCTGTTCAAAAGTCAACTCCTAAACCGACTCCAACATTTAAACCAGAACCTACTTCTCAAATAAATCGTAAAACTCCTGCGTTTCTTTACTGAAAAAATAACGTTATTTTTATTTAATATTAAAATTTTTATTTGATTGAAATGACAAATAAAGTCACTGAAGCAATGAAACAAAAGTTTTTGGTAGAATACATTAAATCAGGAACTATTCCAGAAGGTTTTTACATTCATACTATGAAGGATGGTAGAGTTCAGTTTAGAAAGATAAAGCAACCATTAGATAAAGAAGGAATTTTGAGAAAGATTAAACTTCATGAGGACAACATTGCTGAACTTAAGAAGAAGTTAGAAGAGTTGGAGAAAGGAAGAGAGTTATAAAGCAATGAATTCAACAGGGTAGAAATGAGGTTAGATCTAACCTTCTACCCTAAGTTTATTTTTGTGCTATGTTTTCATACGTGTGAGGGTGGTGATATCATTAATTTTTAAGTTTATTTTTTATTTTATTTTTATATAAATGACGAAAACTATTGAGATAACAAACTACAACGGTCATGAGTTCAAGAATTTGTTCTTCGTTCCTCGTGAAAATACATTCTATCAGATACGAGGGAGAAAAGGTAAAGTTAGTTTGAGCGTTTATGACTACAAGCATAATGGAAAGTTTATACAAGCATACGATACAAACGGTAAACGTGTTTCATTAGCTTTGTCAAAACTTACATACATTCATTTTGACAGTGACTTTGACTCTGACGATTGGAGTGACAGCAGCGATACTGAAGAATATGAACTATTGTGTGAAGCACAGCAATGGGAAGCGCTGCAATACTTTTGTAAATGAGAACATTTATTTTTTCATTAGTGAAGTCGTTTGTGAAAACGTTAGTGGGGTGAAGTGGTTGGTGGTTTTGTAAATATTTAAGGTTAAGTTAGTGTTGTCGTTTGTGTTGTCGTTTGTGTTGTAAAATATACGTTAACGGTTTTGTAAAGTGTCAAATTCACATAACAAGTGTAAGGAGGCGCGCAGTGCCTCAGTACACTTGTTATGTATACTAACTAAAGTTCAAATTATCTAATCTTGCTTACTCTTCCTTTAAACTTCTTTGTGCCAAATTTAATATTGCCTTCAAAGATGGAATAAGGACATTAGGTTCAATCCTTCGGCTTTCGACAATTTCCAAAATGTGTTGAATTAATTTCAAACATTCATCGTGTTTTGAAGCTCTTTGCTCAACAATCTGATTACCTGCCCTTGTAAGAATTCTTACTGCTCTTTCTTCATTCAAAACATTAGCGACTTGAACCTTAATAATCGCATTTGGAATCACAACAGTGATGAGAGTTATGACGATGTCATCAATGCGCTCATTTTTCTTACCCAAGAAAAATGTTTGCTTTAATTGATGAAAGTGTGATTCCGCAATGTTATTCGTGGAATCACCTTCTCCACGATATAACATCATCCAATGTTCTTTGGTTCTTCTCCATTGTTTATCGAAATACTTCAAAGCGCGCGGTTCTTCTTCTTCTAACATTGTTGTCAAGAACTCATATGTTTCATCAGACTCTTCAGCCAGCTTTTCTGCATTCGTTGCATCTGCACGTAATGTCAAAAAGTCCATTGCTAAATAGAAGTTCTCAAAATTCTGTGGATTGTCAAAATAGCTTCCAACTTTTGCACATGCGCGTAAAACATGCACAGCGCACCAACTGAGCTGCGCAAGAGGAAATCCATCCTCAATTGCGCGAGCAATGTTTAGCGCACAGTCAGCGCTCCAATGCTGTGGATCCAGGTGCGCAAACTCACAGAATTTCACCAAACATTCTTGAATTTTTTCAGATGTCTGAGGGTTCACTAAAAAATAGCAAAAGGGGAAAATTGTGTTTTGACTTGTTTTCATTGTTACTGCAAACAATTGGATCTTTCCTTTAATTAAAGAATGAGTGGAATCGACGTGGAGAGGGTTATCAATGCTATGCACCAATTCTTTTGCAGCAAAAGGTGCATATATGATTGTAAACTCGGAAAAATCTCTATTGTAATCAAATTGAACGAGATCATCTGGGCACTCTTCCTGTAAATTATTCAAAAATGCTTCCAAAGAAGTGTAAAGATCGTTTGATAATCTTTGTGCAATAATCTAATCAAGGCGATAAAATTTGTGCTTTAAAGCATCAGTAGACTGCGCGAAAAGTTTCATCGTTTCTTTGTTATTCGTATCAATTCCGAACTTATCAAAAAATGCTTTTTGAGCAAGAAATTGCTTTCCACCGTTTTTAATATAAAGTTCGATCCATTTTTGATAAAATTTACTCGCGTAATGTGAACCCATTTCAACTCCTATATGATGGCAATGTTCTTCATTAACTTTGCTTATAGTAAACACTCCATTTTGTTCTTCAACCCTAAATTTTGCCTTGCATAGGGGATACGAACATGAATAAGTGACATATTGCTTTGGAGATCCCGTTCTTCTTCTGTATGGGACACCGCCCTTGACTTCCTGTTTAATACCAAAAGCAATAAGCTCCTCTAAGTCCACCGAAATCATAAAAATGAAATGATTTTGAAAAGAGTTAACAAAATTCAAATCACATCAAAAACAAAAACACATAAAAATATTTTATTATACTCATTCGAAATTAAAAATAATAAAATTTATATATATTAATTTCATTAAATCAAGGTTAAAAATCTCACCGGAAAAATAACCTCAGTGTGATAAATTTATCACCGGAAAAATTTACAATAAGGTTAATACCGAAAATATCGAAAAATCAACATTTAAGGTTAATTTAAGAGTATGCACTTTTGTCACCTACTCCCTTTTTAAATGAATCTTATTATTAACTCGAGCTATTTCAAAGAGAATCGGCATAATAGCTTAAGCAGATTATACTACGGTGCAGTAAAGAATTTTTGCATTATTTATTTAATATTTGCCTTCATATTTGTGGATTATCTATTAGAACAAAATCTAAATCTAACAATTATGTTTCAATTGGAGCAGGAACAATTTATCGATGCTTTCAGTAATATTAACTTCACACAAAACGATGCGGGCGTTCATGAACTTCAAATCCATCCTGGAATAAAGGTTCTTCATAATTTTTCTGCAATAAGAACAGAAGAAACATTCTTTAGTGCTGGCCACAAAATCTTTGTTACAGTATTCGATAGTGGATTCATGAAGGAGTATTTCCTTTATCTCCCACCATTTGACAGTTACATTCCGAAAGGTCTAACTCCGAAACAGACAGACCTTTTCTGGAAACAAGAGGAAAATCATATACATTACTCAGATTTCCATATTCCGCATATTGATGTTGTATGGACTGTTAAAAATGGAATTTCATCACTTTCTAATGCTCATTCTTGTCGCAAAAGCAACTCTTCTCATCATCTAAACTTCTGCAAATGGCCTACGACCGTTAATAATCCAGAAATCAAAGGAACGGCCTTAGTTGTCGGCAGCCATCAGATAAACTACTTCCAACACTTTTTTGATAACGGGTTACCGCATTACGCCGCTGGCTCTCTCGCCACAGGTATTTCTCCCCAAATGATAACTGTTGTTTCTACAGCCTGCAATCCAGTAACGATAGAAACTCTAGAAAAACTCGGCTACAAGTCGCGCCAGAACTGTCAAAGCGATGGAAAGCAAGTTAGTGCCGAGTTACTTATCATGTGCACTGCAACTCGAGTTGTCCATCATTATTTCTTCGACTGGTACCAGGAGCTAATGAGGATACCGATAGCTGAACGTTCTAAAGTCATTTTACTGCCAAGAGGCAAAGGGAGTGGCGGAAGAGGTAGTAGAATCATTCAAAATCTCCATGACATTGTCCCTCATCTCAGTAAAATCTTCGGATCCGAAAACGTCATCATTCACGATCAAAATTCTCCAGAAAAGACACTTTCAGCACTAATCAATAAATTCAGTACCGCGAGATACATAATTGGGCCTCATGGAGGAGCTTTTTATAACCAATTCTTTTCTGGAACAAATACAACAATTGTGGAAATGCTTCCTGTCAAAGAGAACGGATATTACCCAGAACAAACTGGTCCAAGATCGATGTCATTTGCACACTTGGCTATGTACACGAACACAGAATGCTTACACCAAGATTTTTACAGATACTATACAATAAGTGATCAGATCAACTATAATATTAATATAACCGATTTCATGAATTGGTTTAAATTTAATTTTAGAAATGATACTTTTGTTGTTAATGCTTCTTCATAATTTAAGACTTTGTTTGTATAAAGAGGTAGGGCAACGATAGGTCAAAAAGGCTTCTCTGATAGATTTCCTTGCCTTTTGGATATGCTATAATATATAGCCTAGCATGATAGGATATGATGTCAAAAGTTAGAACATAACTTAGGATCTTGAGAAAAATGAAAAACAAAAATTACATAAAAAAAGAAAATTTTATCTAATTTGTTTTTTTGGACCGAATAAGTAATTTTATTGAATTTCAATACGACACATAGATTTTATTATTAGTAATAAATATAATGGTTTACTATTAACAAGGAACCTAAACTAATGAAAATTTGATTTCAAATATTGTATATGATTATCATAGATTACCAAAATATATTGCTATTTATGAGGATATAATATTGATTATTAGTAAATCGTATAAATTTAATAAATATACCATGAATATTGAATGAATTTCTTGATTCATAGGGGTAAAACGCGCTTTTATATGATTTAGACAGAGAATTTATGAGATGTAAATAACACAATAAAGGTTTATATTGAATATTTTCTAAAAATAAATCGAAATTATAAAAAACAATACATTTATTCATTGAAACTACTTGGACAAATATGAAACAAGCATTCAGGCAATTCTTTTGAGACTTCAACGCATCTGATAATTTTTATATAACTTCACCTCTTATGCTTAGAGTGGAGGTATTGAGATCGTAGAAGTATAGATGAGCTCACATTCAGATATGATGTGTGAACTTCTGTTTTCACTGCAATTTTGAATCAGAATAAACTCAAAACAAGAATAAAATGATATACTCACTCTCTAAATGTGTTCGAGATTTAAAGTTGTATGAATAAAACGATTCATCTTTCGAAGCCTCCCATTTAATGAGAGACTTCGAAAGATGAATGTATTCATGTAGATGAAATACTATATATGACCATGTGTGATACTAAAGATATCAAAATGTTCATTTTTAAGTGCAATAGAAGGGTTATCTCTCGTAAAATCTCAATTTAAGGAAGATTTAGAAAGAACTCCTTTCCTAAGTAGATAGTGTGTGGTTTCTGTCTTTTGGTTGATCAGGAACTATGAAATTAAGTCGGACAGAAAGAAGTTCTTTCCAAAACAGACTCCAAATGAGTTGTTCGAAAAGAACTTCCTTCTGTATATGGATAATTGTAGTTACCGCACTGAAGTATGTAATTGTGATGATGGAGTTCTCGATAAATCTAAAATCGGATTAAGATTAATTGAAAACTCAAGTAATTCTTTGAAATCTTGTGTTGTCTGGCACTATAATAACCAAAGAATGAGAATATTATGTTGAATGATGAGTACGTGTGCTCGGCATTCGCCGAGCGAATTGAGTTTAACGTACTATGAAAAGTGACAAATTTGGGCTTTTTTTTAGGGTTATGATCTCTTCCTTTCTGCTCAATACGACAGAAATGAAAGAATGAATTTGTACTCCCTAATTGATTACTACAATCTGTATCTATCTTTAACATAGAATTAGCTGCATTGTGATTTATACTCCAGAATTATTCAATTTAAGATCAACCTCGTAAATTTTAATCATATTGCACCAATACTCCTACGTTGAGATAAGAACATGATTATACATACCAAAGCCCCATATTAAAAATCAAAATTTAGCACCTCCATTATGCAACCACATTATTCGTCGCAAATAAGTATATTTACGCATATTATGATGCATATTCACACAACTCGTATACATGAAAAGTTATTAAAATCAGACAAAATTATTGCAATAAGGAAAAAAAAACAACTTTATTATATATGTTAGTAATGAATTACAAATATTTCTACAAAGAATGCTCAATACTTCATATAATCTTCGAATATTTCTTATTACAAGTTAATACATTTTGACTCGAACATGATAAACAAAAGCTGACACGCTGATTACTACATTTATGAAAATATAGTACGTTTCCATTCATCTGTTTACTTGTTTTTGTTGGAATAAAATCATTTTTTTTTCTTTCATGAAATAAGAATTTTGCTGCGAAAGCAATATCTCTAACAATAATTAATACATTACGTCAACTCTGGAATGAGTATTTATCAAATATGATATCAAAATCAAAAATTAGTTTTTTTTATGAGTAAAAACGATGTAAATTGATTATTTGACTAATTATCAAATACTTTGATTTTCCAAATTTTTTTCGAAATTGATTTTTTCATGTGAAAATTCAAATTGTTTAATTTCATTTTTGAAATTTTGAATTTTTTTTGGAATTTTGAGTTGATCAATTCAGCAGAATTGATAATGCTATTGCTTTAGGGCATACCACAAGGTGATGAATAAAAGGTGAACATTAACAAATTATTTTAAATCACAAATATCATCCTCATCAACTTTAATTCTAAAAAGAACTGTACTGAATTATGAAAATGCATGATTTACATTATTAAAATCTTTGAATGAAAATAGTACAAGATAAGTTTTTATTCATTTTTAATTAGATTTAAACGAAAAACTACTCCATATTAAAATTTAAGTCGAGAAATCGTATTTTGTTCTTATTTGTTAGCATTTTGTAGACATTCTAATCTTGAATTAATTTGTTACATGATATTATTAACAAATTTAACTGAAAAAATATGTTAATATGGAATAAACCATGATTATATAAGCTATCAATGCTATATATACATATGTAAAAGATTCATATTAACTCAATTAACAAAAATATGATAGATTTTCATAAAGGTTCAATCTAGGTTCGTCCGAAAATTTTGATTTTTATATAGAAGACATAGTTTCATATACATAATTAAATTTTCAAACAAATTTGATCATACCATTTATTAAGCAGGATAGTATATTAATTACCATCAGTATAAAAATATAAAAATGATTATATTTAATTATTGCATAATTTAGTCAAAGAGTTATAAGCCTCAAGTGATCGTTATCACCTTCAATGCACGTATACTTTATTGATTCATAGATATTTAATCTATGTTTGACATGTTGTTGTCGTCATTCGTTTTGTTCCCATTCTTCCTAAGTTAGAATTAGAGAATACACCATCCACATCATCTAATTTGGTCCTCAGCGATAGATTGGTTCATTTTGGAGGAGTCCCATCAGACAGTTTTCGAGCACCAAATATCAAATTTTAATGTATACAAATCTTTAGTGATTTATCTCTTTTATGATGAGTAAAAGGTTTCTGCTCATCAACATTTGATTTCCGACATATATGATTTCTAATTGCAATTATTTACTTTCTTTTTATAATCTAACTCTGTGACTCATACCATAAATTAATTATTGGAAAGTGTCAATATGTTTGGCACAACGAATGGCGGAAGATACCAAACCATGCAGGGAATATGATACGTTTAAGATCTCCGAACTTTTTTTCCAAAAATTTTCTATCGTTGCCCTACCTCTTTGTATAAACTGTTCCATAAAATTTCTGATAATTGAAAATTTTGTATGATCGGCAGTTTTCAATAAAGATTTAAATCAAAAATGAGTCATGCGTGGCTAACTATACAAAGGTACATTCACTAGGCAATAACAGTAAAATGGGATGAAAATAGGATAAATAGCATCCCTATATAGTGCCTAACAATATTTATACGGGCCAAAAAAAATTTGGCTAGAGATTTGGCGAGTTATAAAACTTAGAAAATTGAGAGGGATTTTTATTTTTGAATTTTTTTTGGAAAGTTAAAATTGCGATTAAAAATCGATTTCCAGGAGAACTAAGCATCTCATCATATATTTAAATCGATAAAAATATTAAATAATAGTTGAATAGTATAACAACGTGAAATTATGGCTGAATCTACAGAAAAAATGAACATATTTGACATTTTTGAAAATTCATACGTTAGATGGTGACAGACTCATAAACTATACTTTAGCTAAGATTGATATATGGTTTCAACAACACATGGTTAAAATCGTAAAAATATTTTAGATTTCAAAAAGATATATATGGTAATATAATGGAACAAAGTCAACAAATAGCATGTTAAATATGTTATAATTAACTTTTTATTAGATCCAATAGTAGATATCGAATGGTTTCCAGCTTTATGGTTAAATATTTTCTTTTCGAGCTTCTCTTTAACTGTTGTATTAAGGTTGTAAATTTTTGATGCTAGAAACTATGGAATCTTCTTTGCTGCTGCATTTTTCTTGAGAGTTCTTGCAATTTCGAATAGATCTGCGCATTGTATGAAATGGAGGCTTTAAAATATCTTGAAAACAGAATAGGACTGCTTTTCCAAAGGAATGCTTACTTGTAAATCAGAGAGTTTCAAAATTGACAGCAAGATTATCATCATAACTGTCGATTTTGCTGCGAAAAAGGAAGACAAGTAATTAACAAATCATTTACTGTTGTTCATCAAAAGAAGAAAACTTTGATAACAACTAATGATGATAAAATCAAGCTATCTTTTAATATTTTAAATTGATAAGACATTCAAAATATTTGAATGGTTTAAAATATTTTCTTTTAATTTCTATAAGATATTATCATGATTATATAATAAAATTTAAATTTTTATTCAAAAAGGCAATATTTCAAACTTTTAATTTCAAAAATCTTAATTCTGCAATAAGTGTATTTAATTGTAGCAAATTTAATGATCCTTCGTCATGCTTAGCAATTTGGAACTCATAAATTAATGATTTCTTCAAGTAAAATTCTGCATTATTTCAAAAGTCAATAATTCTCTAGTAACTTTTCTTCAAACCTTAACCATTATATTATATGTATAATGGAGAATAATTGCAAAGAAAGATAGCCGAATTTACTGGGTAGTTCTTGTGATGCGAAATAATTGCAAATTAACACCTAGTTTTAACAGCATCAATCTCTTTTTGCTCTCATTTAAATGCATTCGCACACTTTAATTTTGAAATATAAGAGTTTTGGAAATTATCAAATTTATCTGCTCAAATACTATAGATCTTCATAAGTGTTAATAGAATCATTAGCCTTACATATAGTGTTTA